CGTGTGAGCTTCTGCACCCACTGGGAAACTGGGAAGTTGCTCTCTTGTGATACCACGTGCATTGCCCCCCCCCCCAGCACTTTAAAATAAAATCTGTTATCCTTTTCTTCATAGTGATCTGGGTTTATCAGTTGATTTTTCAGAGAGTTTTCAGGGAGTTAAAGGGGAAGTCTTCCTTTGGCCCCTGTGGTGCCTGTATTAGTCCATTTTGTTGCTTATAAGAAAATACATGGAATTGGATAATTATAAAGAAAATGAAAATTTTTGCTTACAGTTTCTGAGGCTGAGAAGTCCAAAGTCCATCTGGTGGTGGTGACAGTGACTGAGGGGTCTCGCATTGCAAGATGGTAGAAACAGAGAAAGCAGAGAGAGCAAGAAGGGAGAGAGACAGAATCTTCTTTTAGGGCCCTCAAAACCATGCCCCTGACCACCATTTTTCATCCATTCACTACTGCATGGCCCTACAATCTAATCACCTCTTCAAGGCTCCACCTTTCAATTACCATAATAGGATTTCCCACCCTTATAACACTCACAGTGGAGGCTAAGTTTCTAATACATAAAACTTGGGGAACACAGTCGAGCTTCAATGAGTTTTGGGGGGACATAATTCAATCCACTACAGTGTCTATCTCAACCCTAGTGTGTCTGGGATAGATGCAGACACTCAGGCTCTGATTTCACTGAAGAGTGACGGGGCATGAGTCTCAGCCTCTAAAGCAGAGCACCAGCCTCAGCTGCGTTTTCCTCCCAACAGTGGTAGTACCTGTATTTACTCCTGTCTGATCCTGCACATCATGAAGGGCTGAAGAGTTCCCGAGGCTGGAATCCCTGCTGTGGGCACCTTTGAATGAAAGAATAAAGAGCTTTTGGAAAACTGGTGGGTTAAAAATATAGGTAATGACATGTGCTGTGATTTGAATATTTGTCTACCTCCCAAATTCACATGTTGAAACCTTGAATCCCAAGGTGATAGTATTAGGAGGGGACCTTTGGGAGGTGATTAGGCCATGAAGGTGGAACCCTCCTGAATGGATGAGTGCCCTTATAAAAGAGGCCTCAAGAGAGACCCCCTCATCTCTTCGGCCTTGTTAAGGCACAGAGAGAAGGTGCCATCTATGAACCAGAAAGTGGGCCTCACCAGACACCAAATCTGCAAGTGCCTTGATCTTGAACATACCAGCCTCCAGAACTGTGAGAAATAAGTAAATGGCTATTGTTTATAAAAAATAAATATATGTATGGAGAATGGGGGAACTTCAAGCAGAAGCATTAGTACAAGGGTTTCCCCTGATCTGCAATGATTCTTCCTTCTCCAGAAAGTGTCCAAATGTTTTCATTTCATTCTGCAACACTGCCAGGGACTCCAGTGTTTAGGGATCCATCTGAGTTTTTAAGCATCCTTGATAAAAAAAAAGGGGGGGGCGGGGTTATTCTAAAAGGGTTAGAAAACTTTCAGTGGTGACACACATCAGTGGGAATGTCTTCAATATGATTTCTTTCCTCCTGACACCTTGCTGGGTTGGGTTTCCCCTCAGGAATGAGCAGATTTGTGTGTTTTGTTTTATTTTGGGAGAGAGGGAGAGCCATGGGAAGGGGATGTAAATGAGAAGCGTGAATCATCTTGAGTGACCTTGAGACCTGGGGTGGGAGGAGAACCTGAGGGGTTCAAGGGCAGGAGAACTCTGGGATGTTCGGCTATGCCATGGATTATTCTGGCATTTCCGGATTGGCCCGGGAAGGTAACCAACAATGATAGTATTGTTACCCTGGAAAAATGCAACTTGAAATACAAATAAGTAACTCGTAAAGGAACTTTTGACGTACAACCCATTCCAACTGAGTTCTTAAGTGCGGGATTTCCTGTAGGGCATCTTGGGGAGAAAGAGAAAGCCCCAGGACGCATATGGTGTGGCACTGGGGAAAAAAGACAGGTCAGAAGCATAGAGCATGTAAGGTAGAGCTGAGACAGGCAGTAACCTGTTGAACGCTCGGCCATTAGGGACACCCCTCCTGAGCCCGGTAGAAAAGATGCTCTGCATTTAGGGAGAGGAGGTTTAGGGCACTCGGGTTACACGGATGCTTCACTCTGGGTTCTTGGGACAACTTTGACTCCCGTGGTCCGAGTCTCCCTCCCTGCGGGGAGTCCTTGCAGAAAGGAGAGACGGGTAAGGACTCAGTAGAAGCAGCAAAGCCTTGGTTTGAGGAAGCCAGAGTGAGGGGACCTGGATCTAGATACAAATGAGGATTAGGACCAAGGGAGGGACAATTCTACCGGGCTGGTGTGGAAGGGAAGGGGGCTCAGGAGGATCGAGCAAGGGCACGAGGCAGGACAACACAGTCGGCAACGCTGCGGCGTGGGCACCCCGGAGAAGGGAGAGTCGAGAAGAAAGGGGTCTGCGGCGGGGTGGGAGCCGGCGGGACCGGG